GAAAAGTACTTGCCCAGTTTTGCTGCTTTTGGAAATCAGCCTGAGGAACCCACAGGTGCTTTAGTGGGCAGTCTCCTTCCTCCTTGATTAACTCGATCAAACAGCCCTGCCCTGCTTGTTATCAATTATACACTGGTAAGCCCAGCATCTGGAGACTAAGAGCTTTTACAAGCTAAATACGTGTAGTATTGATTTTTAACGTGAGCATTACCTTCCATGTAACCCCCTGAGCCTTGCCCTAAACAACTGCCTAAAAGCTGTGCAGAATCAGCTGTCTCGGAGTTGGGTGGTCTCCACAAGCTCAAACGAGGCTGCATTTGCCAGTTTTGGGAATGCTCAAGAAAGACCTTGCTCTTCAGCACAAGCCGTACCACACAGGGCAGCACAGCAGAAGCCACCAAGTGCCACACAATCCTAAATCCTCTGGATCATACCATGAGCAGAGACTGAAAAGGATGAGGCCAGTACAGCAGACGACATGTCCCCCAACATCTCGCACTTACAGAAGCTCTTTGCTAAGTGTTACCTCAATGACAAACAAGCCCCGTACCACAACTTCTACCTCTTCCTTTTGACCACTAGTCATAAAAGGAGAAAGTGACCAAAAATAATAGCAAGAAAATGTTAAAAATGGCCATATGACACACTGATATCCCCTCTCTCTGACAGAGTCAGCTCCTCATTACAGGTCAAAGGCACAACATGATACAGCCCAAAGAAGTCTTTCCAGGAAAATGTGAAAAAGCAAAGCATTTTAAAATGATTTTTCCTTTTTTTTTTTTTTAATTGTTATTCTTTCCAAGAAGTACTTACTGGCGGCTTTTTATGTCAATACAAAAGCTCTGTCATAATCTTCAGTAAAAGCCAAAAAATATTAAATTAATTAACTCTAAATTACAGCATATCACAGCCATGTCATTGCCAGGAGAGACTTATCCAAATTACCAAAATTGAACTCAAACTTGTAAATATAATTTTTCATGTGTGCATTCACTGCCTTCCAGTTTCACTTTAACATCAACGTGTAAATTTGCAATGCGTTATTCGCACATGGCACTAGAGGTGTCACGACATCACAAAACTCCATAGTGCTTCCACTTCAGGGGTTTTGTAGAAATTGCCTAAACAGTCAAGCATACACTGGAGTCTGGGATTAAGAGTACAAAGCATCAAGTAAATTAAATGACTCTACAGCCCTGAACCTGAAAGCTGCTCTAGCAGAGAGACTGGATGCCAAGAAGATGCCTTCAAGAGCATCTTGGAGAGCCGTTCCACACAGTGAGCGCTGGATGGGTCAGACACAGAACGACCCCCACTTGCGACCCGTCACTATTTCCACTTAGCATATAAAAACCCTCTACAAAATAGTATGTCTGCGTTTCAACAAGAACTGTATCTACAAGCTTTATTTTTAAGCCAGACATATTGCAGACTGCCGTTTCAAGCTGTGCTCCCTCTGAACCTTTAGACACAATCCATGCACCTACTGGATTTTGGTCACGTCTGGTGCACTTTTTCCAACTCCACCAATAATCTTTCCCAACGCTAATTTTTCACATTAGGACTAATTCAAAGAGGAACAGTTAACTTTCTTTTTTTTTTTTAATTTCTGGGAAGTCTTTTCATCCTGTGTTGGATATCAAAGAAACACAGTCCTTTCCCACTACGTTCAGGCCTAGAAAAAGAGGTAATGAGATTTTTTTTTTTTAAAAAAACAGTGCTTATTAGTGTTTTTTTCCTAACCAGTCTAAGTTACACATTCAGAGGACAGTAAGTAGTAAGACTACGTTTGGTCTATGCAATATTTGCTGAACTGCTAGCACCAAAGGGAGCAACTGAGCTGTATCCATGTTGTTTTAAATCTCAAAAATGTTGATATATGTAACTTTTTTTTTTAATTCCATGTTCATGAAAGTGCCTGTAGATGAGAGACATAACACTATTTCAAACACCAGAGTCCTCCATGAAGACACGTAGGCAGACACTATGTACATGCCCTAAGAGCTCACTCGCTGGCAGCCCAGAAAATTGCCAGTGTAGTCCAGGGTCAGTGTTCATTGATGGTTTTTTCTTTTTTCTTCTTTTGATTTTAAAAAAGAACCAGACACATTGTTCTATAAGAGAGATTTTGATCTCTTCAATATCTTCTCCAAGAGAGGCTGCTCTAGTCTCCCATAGAAGGAAATGCAGTAGCTCATGTCTTGCATTACATGAAGCACTGTGCAACTCTTCTTTTCCTAACCCATTCCAGAGACTGCCAGAAAAAATGAAATTTAAACCACGTAATATTCTGCTATATTGCCATGCAGCTGGAGCTGTCAGCCTGCCATGCTTCCAGGTCTGCAGCCTGACTCACGGTAAGTCAGATGGGTCAAAGTTGCAGGAATTCCCTTCAGGTAGATAAATCCCAGCAGAAACAAAATCCTCTTGGCCCATGGCAGAAAGGGAAGTCACATGCCAGCTCTTCAATTAAAATTACAGCAAGTCAAGTAGCTGATACTTTTCCCCTCTCCTGGTAAGGGGGATGAGACATTATTCACAAGGGTGTTCTGTCGTGCCTCACTGATCAACCGGCAGGCCAAGTCCAGGAAGAGTTTTTCGACATTGTCTGATTCTTTTGCTGAGGTTTCCAGATAGTACATGTCCTGCGCTTCGGAAAACTCTGCAGCTCTTTGCTGGGAGACTTCCCTCTTATCAGCTAAATCGATCTTATTACCTGCATTGATAAAAGATTTAGAAAGATAATTAATTTGATATCCAAAACAAAAGAAACAGAGGTCGATAACGAATAAGGAAGAGTTTGGCGTTATATATATACACACAGACAGCGGTTCTGATGCAAAACTCTTAGTGCTTGCTCTCCCCTCCAAATAATAGATTCCCTGACACACACAGCAAGATCATAGAATGGTTTGGGTTGGAAGGGACCTTAAACACCTTCCACTAGATGAGGTTGCTTAAAGCCCCATCCAACCTGGCCTTGAACACTTCCAAGGATGGAGCAGCCACAACTTCTCTGGGCATCTTGTTCCAGTGCCTCACCACCCTTAGAGCATAGAATTTCTTCCTTAGATCTAATCAAAATCTCCCCTCTTTCAGTTTAAATCCATTGGCCCTTGTCCTATCACTACATGTCCCTGTAAAAAGTTCCTCTCCAGCTTTCCTGTAGAGGGACTTTAAACACGACCAAGTTCATTTAATATCAGCTCATTTGGAATATGCCCTGTGAACATCCAAGTCAGTTCGCCTTAATTTAGCACTAGTGCATCTGTTTGCTGCTATCAACCAATACTAAAGGATTTCCATTTTAACATTTATTGAAAATTCTCTTGCTCTTGCTCTGAGGAGCACTTAAAATGTCAATTATAGCATGCGAGACACTAAACGTGATATTTCTCATGTCATTACAAGCTTTAAAAGAAGCCTGGCACAGAAGGCAGCTTTCCTATTTCAATATTCCCACGAAGAATTTGGCTGTTGAGGCTGGAAGAGGGACAGGCTCGGGGGCACTCGCAGAGCAAGGTGGGGTGAGAAACCAGCCTCTTCCTTCAGAGAGCTTGGTTTAGCAGAGAGTTGATTAAAGCCTCAAGCAAGCACCTGATATGATTATACCTTATTACCGGCCACTTCACTTCAAACATGATGGTTTTGCCATAAATTAATCTTGCAAAGAAGATAACAGAGCAGGACCTGCAGTAACTGTGGGCTGTGTCCACGGACCTGGCAGGTTCAGGAGGAAACATCTCCTGGCCTCACTTTTACCAGCAATTCTGTGAGAATTAGTGGGAAGAAAAGACTGTGCTTCCACTGGCAAGCCACGTCTCATTGCCCTCCTCTCGTTTGAGATTCCCTTTCTTTCCCAATAAAGCAGTTTCTTAGACCCACTGTATACACTGAAGTTCCCTTTCTAAACGAATTATCAATCAACACAAGCAGTGTATGGGTGTCACCATCTTCAAAATGTGTGTTATGGCTGTTATAATTTATATTTTGTGCTGTAGATGTTGATAATTAACAGAATGTAAGAATCATGTATACATTTTTTAGTCATATATTAATTATTTCCGCACCATTTGTACATGTGCTATACCCTTCTTATGGAGTATAACGAGTTTCTTGTATGGATGCTCCATAAATCCCAAGGCTTATTTGCAATACCACTGGGGCATGTAAAGTTCAAAAGATTTTTAAAGCTACCTTAAACGCATTTCACAATCCTCTAGATTTTTTCTTTTAAAGAACAAACTATTAAAGGTCATATCAACACTGCAGCAGGAAACTTCTTGGCTTTCCCCAAGCTATTTTTCTATCGTTCTTTACATATTCCTGGGCCTTCAAAAGCCAAGTCCTGACTATCAGATGCTGAAAGCAGAGCATGGAAAAGCACAGGAAGGCAAAATAACCTTCACCTTGCTTGTAGCAGACAGATGGCCTGAGGTCTGCTTTAGCTTGAGTTGAAGCTCTACAGATTAACATAGCATTCAGTCATTTATTTTTAGTTTCCCTAAAATCCATGCAAAAATATCCAGTTTTCCAGCTCTGTCCCACCTATGAACACTATGATCCACACAACCATCACACCCTCATCTGGTTCCCAGATCCTGACCCACTCTAGACAAGACTCTGGTTGTCCCACAGCTATGGGGTACAGCAACCCAGAGGCAACCTGAACTTCAGCAGATCCTTGTATATTTATAGAGATTCGAACTGGGAATCACAAGGGAAACTGCTCTATTCTTAGCTCAGTTGGTAGTTGCACCATCAACACTTTAGTCTCATATGGGACCAACAGGTGGGAAGTATCCACCTCTGCATGCAATAGCCTTAGACTCAAGACCGGACCACACCTTGAGAAGTCTGTGGTGTCAGCATCTCGGGGTTATTTGCAGAAGGAATGGTCCAAGCACTGGGTTTAAGGCACCAGCTGCACCCTGCACCCAGGGTTACAGCTCTGGTTGGCAACAGGATTTGCTGCACCAGTTAGAGCATCCTGCACCACCAGTTCCCCACAGAGGCCATTTTCCTGCTGGCACCTCCACGTGCCACCAACCCCTCAACAAGCGCAGCTCAACCCCCCATGGCATCACCCCGCAAGGGACGGTCGTCGCTTACCCACTAGCACGGTTATGACCTTATTGCTGGCATACTGCTCGATTTCTCGCAGCCACTCGGGGAGACACCGGAAGGATTCTTCGCAGGTGATGTCGTAGGTCAAGATCAACGCGTTGGCGCTGCGATAGTAACTCTGCGTGATGGATCGGAATCGCTCTTGTCCTGCCGTGTCCCAGATCTGCAGCTTTTGGCATAACAAGGAAGGGTGGTAAAAGGGAAAAAAAAAAAATTATTTTAACTTTTTTTGTTTGATAGCAGCACTGTTTCGACCTAAAACAACCCCTTCGAGGTAAAAACAGAGCTGGGAAAGCACTTAACTCTTCTCTCCTTCGGCTTCCCCTCCCTTGGAATTTTTTTGCTTCTGTTCCTGCACTTGTGGATTGAAATGCAAGGCACAAAGTCAGCTGGCACTGCAGCCCACAGCCTCTGGAAGCCACAGGTCTGCGGGCTGTCACACAACTTCTAGCATCTCCTTCCACAGTGGACAGAGCTGCTGGCCTGGAGTTACTATGCAGGTGCTGGAGGGAGAAAGTCACTTCTCCTGCCCCTGAAGTCTAACCAACAGCAGCATCCATCCAAAGAAGAAATAAGAAACCCTCTCCCCTAGCTCCCAAAGCTAGCTATAGTTATCCTGAGATGAAGTCCTGATGGGTGGAAACCACAGGAATGAACAAGTTGCTCAGCTGAAGGCTGATCCAAGGACTCTTACTGTGTTTCTACAGCCATCTCACCCAGTTGCTTGCTGCCTGCCTTCTCAACAGGTAGAACTGGTTGACATGTCCTTAACTATATCAAAGAGGTTATGAGTGTTTGCCAAACCTTCTGGGTCCACGAAGACAACATACATTTCCCAATATAAACTAAACTCATACTGTTTTTATAATTTGACCATCTGATAGTTTTTGGTGGGTCATCAAAACCTCAGCTCTTCAAAAAGGCAGTCAAAGAAACAAACATCCAAAACTAAAATATTTCAGCATAAAAAAGTACTTCTCTGCTTCAGTTTTTATTTTTTAAAGCACGTCTCCCTGGAATTAAATATGTGAAACTGATTTCCAGCCAGAATCCTGTGTACTTTGGGAAGAAAAAGGTAAAGTATTTGAGATTTTTTCCATATATTCAACAGCCTGTAACAGAGAAAACCTTATTCTTGCCCAGTTCCAAAGTCAAACTAGGCCAGTTACTCATCATAAATGTGTTACTTTGAAATGAGAGCTCCCAGTAGCAGCTTTCAGACGTGGCACATGATTTTTAAAAAGTACATTTTTGCAGAGAAATTAATTTGTGGCTGTCTCACAGCTCTTGGGCACCTTTGTGCTTAATCTCTTGGCATAGTTGGGTTTAAATGGCTGAGCCTGGCACCTGCAGTTGAGTGACATACAAAACCGTAAGTGAAATTACTTGCACGTGAAATTCAGATAACAAATGAGTCCCCCTGTTAAAACACACCAGCCACCAAACTCTGGCAGATGGAAAAGTATAGATAATTTTGTTGTTCCTCAGCTCTTTTCTTACTGGCTACAAGCATAAGTCTACCCGTTAGCTGGGTGCAGAAGGCAGGGAAGAGCCCCCAGCCTTAAAGCCACTGATTATTTCTGCCAAATAAGATATTTTACAGCAACCATTTTACTTGTGTAATTTTTTTTTTTTCCAGAGGAATCAAAGGACAGTTCCTGACTCAGCCTGAGGAAAAACTAGATGATGTTTTTCTTGGGAGCCAGCTGATGCTTCCTGCTCTCCCAACACTTGCACACACATTTAGCTTTATGCATATGAACATTTCCAAACGCAACAAGATCACAGGTCCATATATCGCAGCCCTCAGCTTGCAGTCTTGCAGCACTGAGGATGTTTAACTTTGATCAGCATCATCTTGGCTTGAATTTATGTAGCCTCTTACTACAGGTGGTGTACATATTTTTTGGTTTTATTAGGAAAGACCAGGCAGATCAAAAGCCCCCTCAAGTGCTCAGCTCATCTTTAGTAGCCATTCGTATCTGATATGATCTGAAAGCAGCTTTCATGCCAGCAAGTCTCTCTCCACTGATTTTCAAATGCAATTTTGAAAGCTGGGAAGTATTTTTCCCCAGAAATCTATCATTTATTCTCAAGTCTGAAAACCTTTTTGGTAAACGGCTCTGCTCTCTCACCCTAGATCCCAGCAGACATGCAGGAGATGCTGCCCGGCACAGAAGCAGAGTCATGGCTCGGGCACTGCTAAATGAGCTAACAGTCAGGGAAGCACCTCGTCCGACTGTGATGTCACTTTCCCTGCTCTATGCTCTGACTCATTCCAGCTTTTCCCGCTCGTTAAATGTTTATTCTCCCTAGCACTGCTTACTCAAAAAGTTTCAGCTACAAGATCACTCTCTGAAAGAAATCCGTTCGCCTTTCAGACTCCAGAAGGCTCCTTCAAATGCCCAAACATATTGTACGAAGCTTCCTCCCAAGCTTGGTCATCGCAGCTGAGCTCCAGCAACTCCAATTTACTCCGCTGGTGGGGTCAGGAAAGGGATTTTGATTTAACAGCTCATTATTTGCTACATGAAACACAGCTGGTACACCAGCTGCCACTTGCTACGGCTCTGTGAAACACGAACCAGCCCCAAGCAATCAAGAGAGAGTTGCTTGGGTGGACACTTGGGCATTCATCAGACCTTTGCAGGGCAGCAGGGGCTTCCCATGCTGACGAGTTTGCATTTAGCTCATAGGGCTTCCCTGAACCGTCCTTGCCCCTGAGACAGCCCATGCTGACACAACCCTTCTCAACTTGCTCTGAAGAAGTTTGCATTCTCGGTCCAAGCTAGCCTTAAAACAGGATTACGTCATGGGAGCAACAAGTTGAATGCAGACAAAGCCTTTGGCTGAATTCACCTGTCCAAAACCCAGACCTCAGATATAAGTGATGTTCTTAAGGTTCCATTTATACTTGACAGGGAACCAGATGCTTGGAAAGGAGAAGTGTCTGAAGCGGATGGGACTAATCTTCCTCAGAGATTGCTTTTCTCCATCTATTGACCAGGACAATTTTGAGACAGCTGGTCTAAGCCAGGTTCGTAAAGGAAAAAGTGAATTCCACCTTCAGTACAGTATTTAAGCCATTTACCAGCTTAGATCCTCTGAGCTGCTCCATCGGAGCTGGTTTGGCTGAAAGAAGCATCTCTGCTGTCCAAGGAGCCTGGACAAGCAGGATCTGTGTCCTGGCCAACCTGCTACGCCAGACACCTGCTAATAACCACCACAACCACCGAGCCTGGCACTGACACCACAGGGGCTACACATGATCCTCACCGCTCTCCTGCCTGCTGCTCTGTCCCACTTGCACAGCAACGTGCTGAACATTAACTTGGTCTTTATCAGGGGAAGGTATTTACACCTCTCGTCCTTCACCTGCTTAGGCTGGAAGGTCTTCTGGTCAAGGACCATCACTTGCCGTAGGTTTGTACAGCTTCTCACACAGCAGGGTGGCAGCCTGTGGACATGATCATGGCTTTTAAAATCTGCCCTAAACTTAAGAACACATCACTTGATTTTCTTCTCAAAAAAAACTCTGCACTGAAATACAGGTAAAAAACCAGCTGAAAATCTGCACAACTGTTTCCATCTCATCACTTGCACAAGCTTAAAAACGGGCCTTGATGTCACATCCAGCCACTGTCACACTGCTGCTGCTCTCCCATTTGCTCACCACTAGATCTAATGATGGCAGCAAAGGGGAAAAAAACCACCTGTTTTCCACTTTGATGCCTGTGGCTTTAATGCAGAGTAATTCCAGGAGCAGCTCAGGGACCCTAGACATTAGAGACTCAGATAACCATACCCTTGTCCCACCTCCCAGACACCACAGAAGCTCTACTGAAATCTCTGCTAATGAACGAAGCAGCACCAGCCAACGTCTCTGGGTGCTGGAACCCAACCATGGATCCCATTAAACATGAGATTGGTCCCCAGCATGTTTTGGCCCAGGCAAAGTAGCTCTCTGCCAAGTGACGCTCAGGCTCAGTTTGGGAGTTAGCACAGGAGAAGGACAGTTTCCCAGCTGTTGGTTGTAACTACCCTATTTCAGAGAGTGAAAAAGTTAACATGGAGGACATTGCCCTTCTCAATTCAACCTGCTGACTGAAGCACCAGTATTGTGACCATCTCTGCTTCTCCCAAATCCATAACTCAGCAGAAGTGGAAGATGAGCCTTTGTTGTGCAGAACCACGCAAGTCCAGAGGCCTGCTCTCCCCAACACCCCTCTTGGGAGCTCACAGGAAAAGATCTTCATCAAGCACATTGCGGTGGGAATGCAACAGATTCCTGTTTATCATAAAGGCCATGAGCAGAGGTTGCACTAAAGCACTTCTTTGTGCTTCCTCAACCCCTGCCAGGCATGATCTTAGGGTCTCCTAAGCAAGGACACAGTTTTGCAAGATCTCCCCTTTCCATTTTCTCCCTTAGAGTAGGTTCACTGTCACAATCCTGATGGTAATTGGGGAGAGAATTAGAAGATGACGACTGTTAGACTCAGCATTGCCTGAGCCCTGCGCTCCCCCACGTGCCTTCCAGCCGCGGGAGGGCTGTGGCAAGAAACCTCAGCTATGGTACTGCCACACAAGTTTACACTTAAAACCATCAGGCTCCTACCTTTACTTTTTCACCGTTTATTTCCACAGTTTTAATCATAAAGTCAACCCCAATCGTGGCTCCTTGACCTGGTGGGAAAAGCCCCTGAAAGAAAACATGAGTTTCATTAAGTAAATTTCTGCAGCAGGACAATCCTCACCCTTTTCCATCCTCAGAACTATTCCTCCCTTTTCCCCTTCCCCAGACACTTATTACCATCACATTTAGAGAGAAAAATGTGACATTTCACCAGCATGAATGTTACCATAACTCAACCTCGCAGTGTTTTCCCTGCCTACATGTCCCCAGTTGTGTAGCAAGTCAATTACTTCAGAGACAGGAAAACAGGAGAAGAAAAGGAGGATGCATACAGGGAGAAAATGAGAGGAAAAGCCTGCTTCTGCTTCTGTGCAGTTGGAAGAGGCAGAGGAAGGGCAGATGAAGACCCTTCATCCTACTTCTCAATGCCTTGAAAGGTGCATGAGCACCCACATGGGATGAGAAGCTTTTGACCCTGCAACCTCCCACCTTCCTTCTCCCCTCCACCACACGCCATGACATGGAAAGGCATTTCTGGGAGCTCCCAGCACCGGGGTCACATCCCTGCACAGCATTTCAGGAGTAAAGCATGGAGCCAGCCACTACTGGTGCCACAGCAATGGCAAGGGCCAGCGTGATGCTGGTGGTATTTGACTGCAGCACCCTCAGAAAGGAGCAACAGCAAACCAAAAAAAAAAAAAAACCCAGAGCTTTTTGGTTTCTGGTGTCCAGGTCTATAAAGTCATGTTGATTTTGGGGCACATCCATCCCCTACAGCAGCTGCACTGCCAAAGCAGAAGCAGAAGTGCTCACAGATTTTTGTGGTTAACCCTTTGAGGTTGGCTAGCTTTATTGCCACCAGCTGTCACATGCAGTTAAAGAGTATTGAAAATCACCACAACTTTAAATCTAAAATTAACAGTGAGGGGGAAAAATTGCTGATAATTCATAGCGAAGAGTGCAACAAAAACCCCACCACTCATGTTTTATAGTGCATTATGCAAAACCACCTCTTGCCCCAGATCACCGAAGCACGGTCCTTTCCCCGTTATTCTGCCACAAAATAAGGTCTGGTGTTTAACAGAACACACTGGAGTGACAGCCCAGAACTCAAATTATTTAATTATCTGCTAATGAAGAATAACAGGGAGAGCTTTGTGCAGCGAGGGATGGGGAGGAGAAGGTACACAGGAGCATGTCAAGAGACATGCTGGTCCTTATAACTGGTCCAGAGCACCTCCAGATCAGGAGTTGTCCCAGTGCCTTTCAGAGGGGACCTTCCATCTTCAGAGAGGGATGAGCTTTCTCCAACACAAGATCCCCAACAGGGCCAAGCAGAGCATTAGATGCAGATGTGCTGCTTGTGCCAGTATGTCGCTATAGGTGACGCACGCACTAAGAGCATGGACAACATCATGCTTTGGAGCTGTGACGCCAGCAGAGCTCTTGGTGCACAGACACAGGCTCCACACTCCTGTCCCAGTGCTGTCCCCACCCTGATGTCCCATGTCCAAGAGGTGGCCACCCTTACCTGAGTGAAGCGACGGACTAAGCAGGTCTTCCCCACACCGGCGTTGCCGATTAAAACAATTTTGAAGAGGAAATCATAATCTTCCATACTCATTTACGCAGCTGCAAGAGAGACAGAGAGCACAACACGATGTGAACCAGGGCGGTGGGGAAATGCCCTTTTATTCCTCCAAATATTCAGAACAAAGGTCTCCTGGCACGTGCATGGCTCCTCAGATAAGGGAGAAGAGCCCTTCCTGCTCCGAGCCGGGGCATCCACGTAGCCCAACGTCAGCTGCTGCAAAACCTCGGCCACGTTTCGGCTTTCTCACGGCCTCACCTGGCTGCCCACAAATTAGAGATGCCGGTTTTCAG